TAAAGGTAAAGACTGGATTTTGCTTTGCCATTCCTCCTCCGAAACATCAGCCAGATGTTGTAAGCAAGTCCAGAGGTATTTCACGAGAAGAGTCCTGCACTCTTCTGCTCATGAGAGTATCCCTTATGCCACCAGGCTCAAAAGTTTGGGCTTGGACAACTTAGCACTTCACCGTCTTCGATCCGACCTAAGCGTAGTACACAAAATTATCTGCTACAATGTCCTACCTGTCAATGACTACTTCAGCTTCAACCACAACAACACACGGGCTCACAATAGATACAAACTCAAGGTAAACCGCTCCAAACTCGCAGAAAATACGACTCCAGCAACAGTGGTCAACACCTGGAATGCTCTACCCGACTGTTGTTATATCTCCAAACAGTTATACTTATATCTGTTATCTTTTACCTGTTTGACAAACTAAATAAAACTGAAACTAAACTAATTCCCTGCTCAAGCAGAAGACCTTATATTTCTTTTCTGGGCAAATGAGTGTCCAATTTTTTCTTGAAATCTTCCAATGATGGAGCACTTGCACTTCTGAAGGCAAGTCACTCCTGGGGCTAAATTGTCCTCATTGTCGAGAAATTTCTCCTTAGTTCTAGGTTGGTTCTCTCCTTGATAAGCTTCCACCCACCCAGGAATACACTACATGACTCTGTGATTTCTCCCTAAAAGCCCCAAAGCTTTAATCTTAGACTGTCTACTGTTGACCTCACCCCATTCCTAGAGGTCTATAAGGGGCGTGCATAAGGGCACAGCATGCCTACTATCTCTGTTCTAGTATTCCCTATATTCGTATTCATTTCATATGTTCATAATCATGTTTATACTTATATCTGTTATCTAATACATGCTTGATGAAATAAAAAAAATAAATAGAAGTTTAGAAGCAAGAATAATGCGCATCTTACGGATATCTGCTCAGAAACAAACCATTTCCTAATGGGATAACACACGAGAGTGGGAAGGGGCCTTGGAGGTCTTCTCTAATATAAATACAATAGCAGAGTTGGAAGGGACCTTGGAGGCCTTCTAGTCCAACCCCATGCCTAGGCAGGAAACCCTACACCACTTTAGACAAATAGTCATGGAACATCTTCTTATAGACTTCCAGTGTTGGGGCATTCACAACTTCTGGAGGAAAGTTTTCCACTGATTAATTGTTCTCACTATCAGTAAATTTCTCCTTAGTTCTAAGTTGCTTCTCTCCTTGATTAGTTTCCACCCATTGCTTCTTGTCCTGCCCTCAGGTGCCCTGAAGAATAGTTTGACTCCCTCTTCTTTGTGGCAACCCCTGAGATATTGGAACACTGCTATCATGTCTCCCCTAGTCCTTCTTTCTATTAAACTAGACATCCCCAGTTCCTGCAACCGTTCTTCATATGTTTTAGCCTCCAGTCCCCTAATCATCTTTGTTGCTCTTCTCTGCACTCTTTCTAGAGTCTCCACATCTTTTCTACACCGTGACAACCAAAACTGAATGCAGTATCCAAGTGTGGCCTTACTTCTAGTCTAATCCCCTACTCAGGGAAGAGAACCTATATCATTTCAGACAAGTTAGTTCTCTAGTCTCTTCTTAAAAACCTACATGATGAATCACCAACAGCTTCTCCACCAACCAACCAACCAGCCAATCAAGCAGAATAGAGCTGGAAGGAACCTTGGAGATCTTCTAGTCCAACTCCTTGTTCAAGCAGAAGACTATACCATTTCAGATAGGTGGTTCTAGTGTCTTCTTAAAAGCTTCCAGTGATGAAGCAACCAGAACTTCTGGTGGTAAGCCCTTCCACTGGCTAGTTGTCCTCACTGTTAGGAAGTTTCTTTTTAATTCCTGGTTGCTTCTCCTCTTGATTATTTTCCATCCGTTGCTTCTTGTTGTCAACCCTGAAGTGAGCTTGGCCGAAGCCATCTTAGAGGCTTTGCCACACAACGGAGGGAGGAGAAAAATAGTTTGATGGGATTTTGTACCCAAAACAATAAAGTTTTCCTGTTGGGAACCAAGGACCTTCTCACAGGTGGCTGGCCAGTGGAGGAGCAAGTAACCCAGCAACCAGCCAGCACCTGGACTGGACAATGTGACCCGGAGAGGGGAAGGGAAAACTTTAACTTTTACTTAGGTGAGAGCTGCGGGAAAACTCAGAGTTGGTTTTCACCATTTTGTGCCGATAGGATGTGTCCAATAAACTGTTCTTTGAGGAACTCAAATGCCTCGGAGTTGGTTTTCTATGGGTGCATTACAGTGGTGGGATGCAACCGGATTAACAACCGGTTTGGTGAGTGTGTGCTTTGTGTACACAGCATTCAAAACCCACCCATTTTAAGCTTAAAAAGTTATCTTCTTTTTTTTAATGTATTAAGTTTTATTTTAAACACATAAACACATCAACAGAGACANTCTTTGTTGCTCTTCTCTGCACTCTTTCTAGAGTCTCCACATCTTTTATTACATCGTGGCGACCAAAACCGGATGCCGTATTCCAAGTGTGCCCTTACCAAGGCCTTATAAAGCGGTATTATAATGTCTTGGTGAGGCCACACTTGGAATACTGTGTGTGACTCTTAAGGTAGTGGGTTGTTATAGCTCCCTCCCACTCCCCTGCTTTGACCTTTTAAAACTATTGCCCAGGAGAAATTAAACAATTGGCCTGCAAATTGAGTGGTGTTTTTGTGTGTGTAATAAAACTGTCTGGAGCCTCCATCTTTTCTTCCTTTAACTGCCATAATTGATGGCTTTGTGAGGCCTGCTGCTCATAGTTGAAAAACCTAAAACATTCACAGCTGTCACTGCAACATGATGAGAAGCTGAGCGCAGATTTGTATATGGCGATGAAGCACTAGCCAGCCTCCTTCCCCATTGGCCCCATGGTGCCTGGGGAATTCTGGGAGTTGAAGTCCACGCATGTCAAAGTGGACACAATCGAGAACACGTCTGCTGGGTCTCAAGCTCCCCCAGTCTTCACTTTATTAAGGCAAGTTAGATTCCAAGGGAGCTGCGCCATGGTGGCGCAGTGGTTAAAGTGCAGCCCTACAGGCTACTTCTGCTGACTGCCAGGAGTTCAATCCTGACTGGAAGGTTGACTCAGCCTTCCGTCCTTCCGAGGTCAGTAAAATGAGGACCCAAAATTGTTGAGGGCAATATGCTGACTCTGTAAACTGCTTAGATAGGACAGTGAAGCCCTGTAAAGCAGTATATGAGTCTAAGGGCTATTGCTATCTTACCTTGTCTTTCTTCATCCTAACATCCGGTGGTACCCAGAAGTTACTCCCTTTGGCCTATTACCCAGATGTAAAGCAGAGTTAACTCCGTGGAGTCAGTGGATGGAAGACCAACAGGAAACTGAGCCTAAATGATGGGAGTTGTTGTGTCAAGACTACCAGTTCAGTGGCTGACCTTTTCTCTTAATTCCCAGGCCCTGCTAACACTTCCGTCTGTGTGTCCCCGGTGCAGAATTTCCCTATTTATAAAAGAGCCATCCCCTTCCCCCCTCTGTTCCCCAGAGCCACCGTGCACATCCAGGTGAACGATGTGAATGAGTACGCGCCCGTCTTTAAGGAGAAATCCTACAAAGCGACGGCAATCGAGGGGAAGCGGTCCGACAACATCCTAAAGGTGGAAGCAGTGGATGCCGACTGTTCTCCGCAGTTCAGCCAGATCTGCAGTTATGAGATTGTCACTCCAGAGGTTCCCTTCGCAATCGACAAAGACGGTAAGGCCAGTGGCCGGCTTGTCACGGAGGGCCTTTCTGGATAGTGGCCCCAAATCCCTTTGAAGTGGCCCAGATCTCTGTTTTAAGTGGCCCAAAGGCCCCATTGACAGAGGGATGGGCTTGCCCAGGAGAAATTGGCAAGCCACAGTATAAGGTAGGACCTCGAATCCATCACCTTGTGGGAGGGATTGTCATAATTCCCTTTCTCTCATCACAGGGGTGCCAGCCATTTTTATTTGGGACCTCATTTTTTAAAAAAATAACATTTAATACCATTTTTTAAATATAACAAGAAGTTATAAACGGGTGAAATGCTACTGGTTCGGCCAAACCGCTAGTTAAAAAAATGCTACTGGTTCGGCCAAACTGGTATTTCCGACGATCAGCTGTGACCCATGATTTATATTAACTAAATAGCGTGGCACAGTGGATTTCTCCCCCCCACCCGCCGCCGCTGTTCTACTTACCTTTGCAGATGCGCTTGGTAGCTGGCTCCGGCCACCTACCCGGACGTCATCACGTCCATTTCTGATACTCTGCCCATGCGCAGAAGGTCCTGCGCATGCGCGGAGGTGGCTCGTATGATTACATTTGTGAACCGGTAGCAAAGGTAAATAGATTTCACCCCTGGCGATAAAGTAATAGAAAATAGAGAGTAAATAGGAAAGCAGTGAGGAGGGAAAGGGAAAAGAGAAGTGAGAAAAGATAGGAAGGAAGGAAGGAAAGAAAGAAAGAAAGAAAAGAAAGAAAAAGAAAAAAAGTGTTGACTTCCAAGTCTCTCTGTTACAGTAAAATAAGGCATTCCCCTCAAATCACAACTTTTTCCTTTTTTCTGATAGTATAAACAAGCCACTTCTATAAAGTTCTATCAATCTAATGCGGTATTTTTTATTTGTGACCTCTTAATTCACTACGGCAAGGCCCTCTCCGTTTTTGAAACCTGCCCTCCTGCTTTTGCCAGGTTACATCAAGAACACTGAGAAGCTGAGCTTCAGCAAGGAGCACCAGTACAAGCTCACCGTCACGGCCTACGACTGTGGAAAGAAGAGGGCTGCCGAGGACGTGCTGGTGAAGATCAGCATTAAACCCACCTGCAAACCAGGCTGGCAAGGTTAGTCTAGAGCCCACTCCCCCCCCCCTCCAGCCCCTCGCTTGCTTGCTTCAGGCACCAAAAACTGCTGGCTGCAAACGTCTCCTCTGTTAATGGTTTCAGGCTGGAGCAAAAGAATGGAATACGAACCCGGGACCGGGGCCCTTTCCCTCTTCCCCAACATCCATCTGGAGACCTGCGACGAGCCCATCACGTCCGTCCAAGCCACAGTCGAGCTGGAGACTAACCACATTGGGAAAGGCTGCGACCGAGACACCTACTCGGAGAAGTCCCTTCACAGGCTCTGCGGTAAGCCGAAAGATTCCAGGCTTCTCTTGGGTGGGTGGGTCAGGCTAGGTGAGCATCTCTCGGCTGCAGAATGGATGTTGAAAAGGGGCACAGAGGCCTTTTTCCTAACGTCCTCCAGACCACATAAACAAAGATGCCAGGTAAGATCTAAAAAAGGAGTGTCAAACTCGATTTTATTGAGGGCCGCATCAGGGTTGTGTTTGACCTTGGGGAGGGGGGGGGGACAGAGTGGGCATGGCCAGCCACACATCACTCATGCTCTGCCAGAGAAAACGGACTCCCAAGCTCCATTTTCGGCTGTGACAGCCTCATACAATCCTCTGCCAGCGAAAACAAAGCTCGGTAGGGCTGTGTGCGGCCCTCCAGAGCTCTGCTTTTGCTGGCGGAGGCACCACGGGCCAGTACTTCTCTGTTTCCAGGGCAACCCGTGGGCCAGATCTAAGCACCCCGCGGGCCTTGAGTTTGACACCCCTGAGCTAAAGCTTTCCTCTCTGTAGTGGGG